GTGACCAGTGTTGACCAGATGTTCAGTGATTGTGCTTCTTATTGTCCCACTTCCACCTCTTCGTAACCCTGAAGGATAGTGTTGTCCAAGAACACTACGGCTTCTTACAGCTGCACTTGGAAGAATATGTGAGAAGTTTTGGTGGTTGGCGTAACAAAAATAGCTCGAATTATGGTGAATTATATGCAGGGAGAAATTACATAATAATACGAAAGTAAACACTCAGAAGTGATCTGAGTGAGTTAAGATCAGTGGGTAAAAAAATAAAAATGGGCGTAATAATAAAGACAATGAAAAAACAGAGAAACAGGCTACATAATTATGTATTAGTGTGAAAAGATTGCTACCGGAGTAAACTGAGATTAATCACTGTCTCTTTCTGTATGCACAAGTTTGGTTTGAGTTCTATGTATTTTATCGTCCACCAGGTAAACAATGGGGACATTAAGCATAAAATCTATGGGAAGATCGGTAGGTTAATGGATGAGATTATATGCATCCATAAGGCACAAGTCTGGACATGTCTACCCACTATTTTTCTACATTAGCAGAAAACGAAAGCTGACCAAACGAATATACCAACCCATGAAGTCACTGGTTTAAAATGTACCTGTTAGAATAGTTTATCCATTTGAGAAATTAGTGGCTATCAGGAGTTCTGGTTAAATACTCTAGAAAGTTCGACTTAAAATCAATCGCAACAGAGGAGATATAATTAGGGAAGCCAAATTTTCTCATGGCGCCAAACCTTTTCATGATACCATTCATATTCACTGCCCACGTTTTCATATTCTGCCTGAGCTGCAACACATCAGACAATGGCAACTTTAATCATTGCACAGTAACGCTAACTCTCACATTGATAAAACTTTATTTATTACTGTCTTATTCAAGCAAAAGCATCCCTGGCGAGGTCATGGGCGTTTACTTCTACTGTATTAACCAAAATCTCTGCAGTACTCTGTGGTTTTCAGTAATTCTCTAACTGATTTCACATCTTGACAACATATACCTTGAAATTTTCAGAATATTCAGAATTTACATTTTCCAGCTATTTAATAATGCAACACTGAATATCTGCTTCATCCTAGATTGCAACTACATAATGGAAATCAGCTATGATCTTATCAGAAGTCAAACCCTTGATCATCAGATTACAAGGTGAGCATTTTTACCACCTAGTAACTGGGCTGGAACTCATTTGCCCATGATTTCTAACTTATGTCTCTATTCATTACGTAGCATGCATTACGTATGGCATGGCTAAGTGATGGTGAAATCGGTAATTATCCCATTCTAGTTCAGTTTTTTCTTCTTAATAACAGTGCAATTTAAAAGTTTTAGAAAGACTAGATTAAAGTACTAAATGACAAAAAAGTGGTCTAACACTCTTGAGTCATTTTTTCTTTGGCTAAATACTTCCGTCCACTGTTGCACGAGTTGTATCACCATTTTATGCAAATATGTAATTATAAAGATAAACGCCTCTTAAACAATAACAAGAAATACTAATGAAGTGAAAGGAAGTGATACATACCTATTTAAACTATTCCCGCATTATAAAGCGTAGTTGATTGATTTTTTTTTAATCATTTTGTTATTTTGAATTATTTCGACAAATAGTTAATAGAAGGGATAACTGGATAAATGTGCGTCGATGCACGTCTAGGCGGATGTGAGGGCATATAGTCTTCAATCGCTTATTTTAATGTTATAATGAATACTTAACTAACCGATTTAAAACCGCTAATAATGAGAACAAAGTACAACCAACTATAAGTCTCCGAAAATGAAAGATGAGGATTTGTACTTGTTAAAATATAGACCATTGTATGTTTGTTTTCGTTAACAGAATTTCATCAGGAAATAAAGAATGAAATTTGGTTGTTATTTTACAGCGTTAATCTTGCCATAAATAGCTGTCATCATCCAAAAACAAGAGAACAAGTGAAAGTCAAAGACTACATAAGGAATATTTCGTCATCGTTTGCTACTCCACAGACAGAATAGGCTTACTCTTAATTAAGTATTCGATGACCGTGAATGTTCACTTAGTATGTACTGAGAATTACAAGTTGAAAATTATACATTATTGGATTTAGACTCATTGGTTAAATAGCGATTTGCTTGAGATCTTAAGGTTATTTATTAGCTAGATCTCTCAAACAGTTATGGGATTGCTCGGTCAAAAATCCTAAACTAAAACGACGGTCCTCTGGATTCCAATTCAATAACTGATTGATAAGTGTATTTGTTTGAAATAATCGGAGTTATAGATTCTCCCTACTCTGGTTGTTAGTTTGCACTTCCGAAACCAGAAGTAAATATGCTCTCAGTTTTCAGAGATTTTCCAATCAGTGTCAGTTCTTTGCTAAATCCAAATGAAAACTTATCAAGATCTCTACAGATCCAAAATATGAATGTTTGAATCGGAAAATAAGTTACAACAAAGCAAACCTGCCTCACTTTCATTTCAGCCTCATCGAAATTGTAGAACGAAGGCAGTCAGTTACGATTTGAATTACCTCCGGGGGTAGTTCTGACATGATTTTGTGCTACATGCTTAGAGGAATGCTGTATTTTTATCACATGTTAAGTTTGGCTGTTGTAAATGCGGCTTATAAAAGTTTTTACACAGCTGGAATATCTATTTTGGCATTTTCTAAGCAGTACGAGAAAACAACTCACGACTGCATTTATCTTCATCCTAACGATTCTCGATATCATCTGCTAAACACAAATCGAGTGAGCAGTGTTGATTAGCTGGTGCAGCAAAAAACCTTGTTACTGCTACTACCTTTGAAATCATTTATATGTGACCATTTATATTAGGATTATTTGTTGAAAATGTTATAGAAAGGCTAGAAACCATATTTCTTTAAATAATCAAACTATTTCGTGTTTTTCACGTTTGATACGCTTTGTCTCATAGAAGATGTTGGCATGTACTATTTTGTTGTTGGCTCTTTTTTCTATACGACATAGAATGAACATACTGTGTTGTCTTGCAGATGAAGTCTATTCTCAACGCTTGCATTGAACCAGCAGTAACTTATGCAGCGTTTCTCGTATAGGAAGCAAAGACTACCTGGTTGAGGTCCTCAGTATCCTAAGGACCAGTAGTTGCAGACTATCACAGATGTACCCCAAAACCATTCGCATTTGCGCAGATGACCCCTCATATCCATAAACCCTCATGTTTTTCCATGAAATATTTCTTCTCCCACACATTTCTGCTCATTACACTTCATTTGAATCTTTTTTCCTCTGCTGTCTACCACTGTGTATTAAATAGAGTGTGACTACTTTGCCTGCTGCACTTCTGTGCAGAGTTATGCGTTGAAACTCAGCCAGATCGATTTCGTATATGACAGGAAGGTTCGGTGCTTAGTTTCAGTGGACTATTTTTGTTGGTAAGTTGGTCTGGAGCAAGTGAATGATGCAGATGTTTGCATGTTAATTTTCACAGGAATAAAATCAGGGGATATTTCTCTCCTTTACTTCTGAGGACAGGAGAGCTGCAGTGTGCCCTGGCTCTTCACACTAATGATAATTTGTGTACCATTGAAGTATTCCAGTTGTTTTTGAGTATTTGGCCAGTTTAATTCGACTCTACTACGCTTTGTCACTAGCTATACTGTGCTTCATCCATTCCTCTATTATAAAACTGGGGATTTTGTTAGTTTCCTTCGCCCTTGTTTGGGTGTACCCACACATAATACCATCTGCAATCGAACACAAGACAACAAAGTTACTACAAACCATGATACATTTCATCGCTACAACCTAACACCGTCACACATCATGAAGTATCAAAATTCATAGACCACATAACCTCACCAGCAGTGTGTTCATCTCTCCACATGAAATGATTCAGTCGACTTCATTATTCATTCCTACTGTCAACCAAAATAAATAAATAATTGTGCAAACAACAACACTGGAAGATTGGGACATACTCGAACAGTATTCAATGTTATTCTTAACTCCACACACTTCGTCCTGTTTTATGAGTCAGCCATATCAACCCACTGACACATACTGATGGCTTTCCGTAGTTCGAATCAGTTTACCAGTAAATGAATACTAAAGGTGAACTTCCTATGCTTCTACTGAATGCAGTCTAGAGTAAACATGCATTTGAGTAGTTTCTGTGAGTGACCACTGACAAATGTCTAATCATCAATCTCCATGCAGAGTAAATTCTATTAACAACAGTCAAGTTAACAATGTGGTCATCACCTGTACAAGTGACACAATACCACGGTCCAATTAGAATTGATGTGAGGTGGACAACTTCTGACAGGAGCGGTGTCACGGAAACACACTGATCCTCCACTCATGAGATTGTCCTCATCACGTCGCTTGGCAAGAAGAAGGTACACTTCAGTGCATGCTACATCTGGTGATACTCATCACGCTCTTCTTTATTCCACTCCCACACACCTTCAAACACATCGAATACTTACATTGTCCGATCATAGCTGATTTGGGGACGAATGTGAGTGAACTTCGTCGTTTCATGACAGCAACTACAGCAACAGCATAAACAACAACAGCAAAATTAACAACACCATTGAAGGAAAAGTCCTGAAATAAAGCTGTAGAGAATGTCAGAGTGAATTCGTTCTGCTCAAAGCGATGAAGAGCATTGAGTGTGTTCAGTGATAAATATTGCCAGTTGATCGGCAGTTAACCTACAGTCGCATTCTCCGGTGTCAACACATCTCTAACTAGAGTGCTTACTAGAATGTACCTGATAATTGCACAGTTCGAGGTGGAAATCGATCACTATTTCTTGTGGGAGACAAGAATACTCAGTCCAATACAATTATCTATGTCAACCTAGAACTGTGCAACTCACATACAACCAGTTCTGTTTTGCTTGACATTCAATTACCAGTCAGCTCGACAATTTGCATAGCTAGAATTCGATGGGCTCGAATTGACTTGACATTCTGACCTGACAGTGATGAGCGGAGAGGTGAACGAGCAAGCAGATGTGTGAAAAAGTGGAAACGAAGGAGAAGGAGAAGAAGAAGGTTGACGATGATATCTATGATGATGATGATGATGATGATGATGATGATGATGATGATGATGATGATGATGATGATGATGATGATGATGATGATGATGATGATGATGATGATGATGATGATGATGATGATGATGATGATGATGATGATGATGATGATGATGATGATGATGATGAGAATGAATGCACCTGACATACTAATGCACATTCCCCGTGATATCACTGAATCTTAAATTCCCACAAAGAGACGATCATGCAGTTTCCCTTTGCTTCTCAGAAGTTACAACCAACCAATCAACCGACCAATCAACATGCAACCATTTGATATTTCTGTATTCCTGTTTACAGTTCCATTCCACAAATAGAATCAACCAATTAAACCTAATCATTGATAAGGAATAGAAAATATTGAATTATTTACAATCTTAGTTAGTAATGAGTGAGTTCATTTGTGTTTGTTTGTTTGTTTGTTACTTTTAGAGGAACGAAATGAGTTTCTTTTCATGTGAAACGCAACATTTGTGAAGCGAATAACTAGTTAGTTTCGTTTTGGGTCTATTTAAAAGAAGAAACATGATGAGATGGGATTTTTCCCTTTGAGTTTCTCAAAGAAATTATTAAAATTGTCATCAAAGACTTATTGACCCATTTCACTTGGACATGGACTATGATAACTGACCTCCTGTTGCATCTTTTCTCACACATTAATGGAAGAAATCAGTGTATTCAAAACAATACAGGAATGAAAACAACAGATGTGTTAAAACGCAGAATTTTGATGAAGATTACTAGAAGCTTATAGAAGTTAAAATTCTTGCATTCCCACTACGATATTTCTATTTCTCATAATGCTGAACTTGACTATCTTTCTGCTTTTTTTGAGTTCTATTGAATCCTGTCAATTATTTCAACGTCACTCAGTTTACTTATCTAAATTTATTCTAGTTTCTATCAGATTAATTCTTTTTGTATTGATTAATCGCACAGTGTGTTCTTAACTTACAGCTAGTTTGAATCATGCTGAAAAATGTTATTAAGAGTTTCAGACAGTAATTCGTAATATCTGATCAATCGTAGAAAGATGCGGTATACTTCCTGACAGACTTAAAACAAGATATATGTGCTTACTGTGTTTAACAGTGACCTGAGTTGCTATTAGTGATCGCTGAAAACTTGTCTATAGTTAAATGGACATTGAGTGGCAGTTTTTTCAAATATATCATTGAGAAATACGTTTTCATGTCATCCGATAGCTGAGACGAATATACATTTCCTGGCTAACTGGTATTCACCAGCAAGGCGTACACAAACGTGAATGAATTAATGCCTCATAGATGATCCTAACCCAAGTTTTCGTCGTACTACAGTCCAAAAATGTTTTCTTGAGATAATCGGGCTTATAAATGGGCTACTGTGGTGTTCTAGTAAATACACCAGTTGTTCGCTAGGGAGTTTTTTACTCCTTAATGTTGGCACTGAGTGAGTTGCGTCCTTCAGGTTGACCATATGGGGACTTTTCATTTCAGTGCATTTAGTGTTAATAACTGATTGTTTGCTAGCTTCACGACCACATTGCAAACCTGACTAATAGATGAAGTGAATCCCCATCAACAAGAATTAGACACGTGACGTCAGCTACACTCCAGTGACTAGTCACTGTGAATTTTTAACTGTCTAAGTAGAAATTACTTGCTTAATTATTTCACGTGATACTTCACGACGAATACCAAAAAAATATAAGGAACAGTATGACATTATGCCGTAATATATGACGCACAGTATCACTGCAATAATTATTGTAATATTAGTTACTCACTGAGAATGGTGAACTGTCATGGCAAAGTATCTTGAATACACAGAAATTACGTAGATAGATCATTGGGTTTTAACTCAACTAAATAGTGTTGGTGTGTCGGTGGTCCTGCGGTAGAATACTCGGCAACCGGGTTCGATCCCCGGTCATTTACCTCACTTAACCAGTATTAAGACTGATAAAGAAGGAAGGTTGGGCATGAGGCTAGCAAACTCATCCTGTAGAAATAAACATCACTGCTACTGAAACTTCAAAGCTCCAGCTTGAAGCCCTATGTTCGACTGGAAACGTAAATGAATAAAAAATAGTAATATATACTATATAAAATTTACTTTTCATCTAGGCTCTTCAAATAGAGTAGTAGTTTACAGTATATCTCGTGACACAACGATGTACAATCTGGAACAAAAACCATTCGCTTATGATACTTTTCCCTTCTCTTCTTTGAAAAATGCAGAGTATTATGTTGAAAGCCGATTAAAAATGCGCATGATTATATTTTGCATCCCAAACACACAACTGATGATTAAAACAATGAAATGTATAGAAAATTTGACTAATTTTGTTGGATGGAAGTTCAGGTAGCTGACTGATTCAATCAGTCCTGTAAGACCTCTTATACTTCCACTCTCACCATGATTTCCCATGACAAAAATAAATCCCCTCTTCATAAAATGTTATGTGTTTGACGTTGAAAATATGCCAAAGAATGGTAAAATGATGCACAACTAAATGACATAGGTAGTTGGCGAATTAACACGTCTTTTAGTTGTCTAAAACAGGATGGTCCAGACGGTTTGACAAACTTGAATACACTGTTAATGACAGCTGCATTAAACTAGTGAAACAGCTAAAGTTAATTTCATTTAGCTAGGAAGAACAATTAATTTATGCGTCCGTATATTTATGTGTACCTATTTGAAACATATTTCTAAATCAGTATCACTCTCCTGCCGTTAAAACTTTCACAGGAAGATTTCATTCTCAATAGTCAGGATGATGAAAATGTTCATTCGTGGTAGTGGTTAGCAGTAGCGCTATTTCTAGAATTAACACAAGTTAGAATTTATCGGTCAGTGAATCCCAGTTGAACCACTTCATTACACGACCTGAAGATTTTGATCTCTCGATCCCTATTGGCGTCATGCGTGAGCACTGCTTAAGAGTCCTAGACTAAGATGTAATACATGTCTAGTGCTCCATGCATTTTATTTGGTTGTGTAGTTGATGTCGATTCATGACGAAAATATATTTTGTCCATCATAGGTGGAATATTAACCGGAACTTATCTGACACAGCTCCATCAGCATTTCCATTCATTTATGTCGATTGAAATTTACTAAAGAATCAAAACTTCATCAATCGATTTAAGTATGAAACTTTACTCAACTTAATTTAGGCCAGACATGCAAACAACAAATTAATACTAAACCGCTGAAATAATAGTTTTGAATTACAAAATAACACTTTATTTAGCGGGAAAACAATCAGTTTTATCATAACAATAAAGCATTTGAGATGATATTATTCCCAATGAATCGTATGGCAAAAAAAATTAGTTCATCAGATTTCTTTATTAACTTTCATTTATCTTGATTTCCTTATACTCATTGACTAATCGATTTCAGCTGAATACACTCACTACTTAATTTAACTTTTTCAGTAGTTTTGAAAAAAACATAGATCACAGTAATTATTTGTTTTTTGCTGTTGCAGCTATTTTGAATTTCTTGTTAATATGTAAATGAAATGCCCAATCTCTGCTAATATACTCTGAGATGAATAATATGTTAGTGGATAGGTAATTGCTAGTGAATACTGTTCTGATATTTAAAACAATAGCCAATAGGTTTGAGTTTCAAACAGGAAGCCACAGACAGCTAACGAGTCCCAAATAAGGCCAAACTTAAATCGCGAATTTCACAAAAAGTTATAAAGTGCAGTGGTAGCATTAGTAGTAGTTATATTCAATAATGAATCAGGATAGGGAAAATAAAGCAGGTGTACATTAGTGTCAAAACAGTGTGGAGATCCATATACAAAAAAATGAACACATGGAATAACATCCACATATCTTACACTAATATCAAGTTACTGATTCTATACAATTTACAGACTTTAAGTGCACTTCATCGAAGTATTCCCAATAAATTGTTCTATACTTTCACCAACACCCGTCTTCGGTTGATACTGGACGTAAGAGAGGATAGGCAAGTAGCAAGAAACTCTGGCAGCACACTGTCCAGTAGAGCTCAAATGGGAACTGACGAATGAGGTGTAGGTTCTACAGTGGTATGGCAAAGATCGTGTGGGGTTTAATTCAATAGTCACTGAGGCAGGTGAAATTGATAGCAGAGAAGTAAGTACAATAAAGAACAGCTCTGCCCCAAACGAGCAAAACGGACGTCCGGTGTTTAGATCACCTCGATAGGACTGGCAATCACTGTTAGTTGATTTAGTGAGCATGCAACTACTCATCTCAATTAATCAGTAGTATATAGTTTTATGCAAATTTGCTTGCTTGCTTGCTTGATTACCAATTATGGTGGAGAAAAAAAAGCAACAAACAGGTTCGGGTTGTCTTCTTACTAAATTTATTAGCAAATATGTTAAGTAAACTGTAAAATTTAATGTTATGTGTTTTTTAATATTATCTACTTCTTTATTTAAGCTTTTTTATTAACTTTAAAATATTATTAGAGAAGAGAAAGACAAGCGAAAACATAAACAACAATCAATCTACATTTGAATTGTAAACTGGTAGTTATTCATTTTAATTGTCAGCTTCATTTTTTAAAAATATTTCTATGTAGGTATCTTCAGTTTAATCAAACATTCACGCTAAGGGATAATGCCATGTCACGTAGTGTCACGCCACACACATTCATACACTCAGATAGACAAACAGTAGGTGGAGGATATCTATGTCGCATTATGATGACAGTATCCTTTGCATTTGTTCGCATACACACACGTGATAATCAAAAATATAAATAATAGCTTCATCAGTCAGTATGTTTATAACAGTAGAGAGTAGAGTAGAGTGGTGTGGAGGTGTCTATGTGTGTGTGTGCTTACGTGAGTCTGAAGTTATCCATTGCCTATCATATACCACGAATTTTTACTAGTTTGCTTTCTCTAACATTAGTCTGCAACTTCAATGTGTAAACACATTTTTGTCAGTTATCGTGTACTCATGGCGGCTTTTCTCGAATTTTACACTCTTTCTGAAGTCTTGATTCACATCACTTACTTGTTTACTAACTGCTCAAAATTACCACCGAATTTAAGGTTTGTCAAAGTTACTTTAAAATTTCTGTACATATTCTCAGCATCAACGTCATAAGTAGTTTGATCGCTGTTTCAGGAAGTTAAAGACT